GCCCTGGGGCGAGCCCGGGGCCAGGGCAGCTAACCAGCAGGCTCTGAAGCACTGCCCCGGCGCAGGCGACTCGGTTTCAGCAACCATACACTTTAGAAAGAGGTGGGTGACAGAAGACAACCGCAATTGGAGAGGTCAGCCAAAAAGAAAGCAGAAGATAAACCAGGAATGGACAAAAGTACCTGGAGGTGCTACACTGTTCACAGGAAAAAACAGAGATGGGGGCCTGCACAGTTACTGGAGCCTTTCTGTACGGCTATGACAGACCACTCTGGAGACTCTGTGGTGTCTTTTGCTGCTGCTTGGTTTATTTATCTTGCTTTGTGCTATGACTTCTCCAAAACACAACGCTATTATTCCATTGGCATCGCCCACTCAGTCCCAAAGCTCTGTGTTTCACCTCCCTGGTCGAGGCAGATGCTGACACACAGGAGCAAGGGCAGGTGAGGGCCACCATGACCACTGCAGGGCTGGAGCACGCGACGCGTAAAGAGAGGCTGAAAGAACAGCTTTGCTCCATCCTGGGGAGAGCAGGCTCAGGCTGGAGGAGACCTTACTGCTGTCTGTGACTCTGATCGGAGGTCGCAGGAGAGAAGACACGGCCAGACTCTTCTCAAACGTGCACTGACAGGACAAGTGGCATATATAAAGTTCTGATTATACAAGGAAACCATTTTTAAATGAGGCTGCTCAAACACTTGACCAGGATCCCAGAGAAACTGTGCAATCTTCATCCCTAGAGATACCCAGAACTCAGCTGGCAAAGCCGTGACCCACCTGGTCCAGCTGGATCCATTTAGAGCAAGATCAGGATTAAACCATCTCCAGAGGCCCCTTCCAACCTAAACAATTACCTCACCTTCTGTGACCTAACCATTATCTTCTTTTCTTGTTTCCACAGCACCTCTTATAATATCAATAGCTTCAGTTAAAACAAGGAACTTTGCTCATTAAACAGCTTTTAGCGTTCTTTGTAGGAATAGCCTCTGCAAAGTTTTTTTTCATAATTTTTTTTTTGTTTCTAACTCTTGTTGCAGACAAGCTGTCTTGAAATATACAGCCAAACTGGAGAAACAAGAACATAACGATGCTGACCCTCCTTCCTGGCTTGGATACGATCGGGATGGTAACATACTCACCTTCACCAAAAACCACACATCAGAGCCTGAATAAACAAATTCTTCAAAAGGAAAAATGAAGAAATTCCACGTCTTCTACAGTTCAAGGGTTTTTCACCACAGCATGAAAAGAACACTCTATTATTTTTCTTAAAACTAATCATACTTTAATAAAAGGCCATTTGTGGAATTAGTAAGGAGGCACTGCAAATCTTTCTCACAGGAGTGTGTATGCCTTCAAGCAAGACAGCTGCACAGAAACAACATCGCTAAGTTTCACATGTTGATTCAAGCTGTCTTCGTCTTTCAGTAATGAGAAGTTTTTGCAGTCCCATGCAGAGTAAGCAATAAATGAATCTGCGTGTGCTTGGGGTTCTTGTTTGCCACGAAGGTCCCCTCCAGGACATAAACACACTTACCTCCCACAGACCTTCACACTTCACAGGGCTGGTACTCATCAAGTACAGCGTTCTTGAGCAATGAAGAACAGGGAACAGGTAGTGACTACCCCTTGCTTAAGACACTATTACATGTGCACATTTAAGTACAGTTCTCTAGTTCTCGGCAGTCATGTGTACACCCTGAGCAATAACTCTCCTAAGAGCCTCTCAGGCTGAGCTAAAGTCTCTAAGCGAGCTGATGTTTATGTCTGCAGATCTGAACTGGGGGCTGGCTCGCAGCTGACACAGTCAGGAGAATCAAGTGAAAAGGAGCACAGATGAGAAAAGTGCTCAAGGATGAATTTCCTCCAGTGACAAGAAATGTCGTCTCATCGAATGGACAAAAAAAAAAAAAAAAAAGAGCAATTACTGATCACCCACTAATCTTTCCTTGTCTAGAGAAAACTATAAAGTTTCACCTCATTATAGCAGAACAAGACATTACTCAAATGCCTCTGGGGAAACTCCCAAAGATTTGTCTTTCTTCAGCTCATTCTTGACCTCCATGTTAAAGTTCTACCTGGTCTTAACATTTATTAGCTTGGAAAGAATATAATCAGAGTAGCTGTACTGGTAGCACAATTCTTCTAATGGGTTATTTAAACTTCTTTAAGCAAATAACTACCAATCCTAGTGTTTAATTCCAGATAGATTCAGAATATGAATGCCTTAGCTTGCTTTCTTTTGAACGTGGAAGAAATAACAGGTTTTTTTACTATGTTCTCCTTCAAATTGCTGATGCGGCAGTCCCAAAAAGCACAACCTTAATCACAGAGGCTGACAGGCTTCGTATTCCAGGTGAATAATGGAACTATTAAACGGATTCGATTTTGTGAAATATCTACTACACTGTTTTTATTTTTCAGTGCAGTGTGAATTTAGAGGTGCTTCTTTCACTTTGCCTACAGCAGTGCACAGAAGTCATTAGTTTCAAAAATTTTTCACAACACCTAAAACCATTACACATTTATTAATATTTTATCTTTAAAAAGTATAATAGTAATTACTAATAACGAGTAATATATTGCTTCTAGTAATAATATTACTAATGTTTTATGTATTAGTGTTTATATTAAAAATACCATACACATCAGTGCCCACCTCATGCAAACAAACAGTACACACCACAGCAAACAGAACGTGGAGTTTTTAACCACCCTGAATTACTGTAAAAATGCTGCCCTTGCCTCCATTAGCCAGGGGCAGTTATACCTCTTGGGGAAGAGGTATACCCTGTGGGAAAGGAGAAGTTAATTTCATAACGTACCATTATGATCTAAAGTACATACACACACGTACACAACTTAAAACCTGAGCTGACACTTGGAACTCTTCTTTGCTACTCTCCACCCGCTCAGCTGGCAGGAATCCTTACTGAAACACAAATTTCAGTACTTCTTTTAGAAGGTGCCATACATATGTATGGAATGGCTTTTAAAAGCTCCATTTACTTCATGGTGTGCTTGCATTATGGTACCACAAAATCCTCCACAAAAAAATCACGCATGCCCTTGTGCAGGCCCGGCCTGTCCTGCCAGGCTGACAGCAAGTCACTGGAAATGTAGCAAATAAACAGATGACAGTTCTCATTTATTGGCCCAATACTTCCACTCTTTGGCAGCTTTTACTTTAGGGGAATCTTCACGTGCACTCTTATCCGAAGTCCACTCAGTGGAGTGTTCCTCCTGGAAATCAGCCAGATCCATGGCACGTTCGAGTGTTTATTTTAAAATTTTTTCCTTGCAGACGAACAGTGGTAGACATAGCTAGAGTTCTTCTTTCTATCCACAGGCAGGTGGTTCAGAATGACACGGAGCAAGTTCTGTCATTTCATACAAGTAGTTTTACACATACAGTACCCACTGGCAAAGCAGAAACTGTTTAGGGGTCAAACACCAAACGAGAAGACCAAATAAGAACTACAGTTCTGAAAGTGGTTTTATCCTATCCACGATACAAATAATTTGAAGAAAATTCTCTGCATTTTGCATTTCCCACAGTACTGAGACACTTAACTTAAAAACATAAAATAGCTTGCAGAGCATGTCATTGTGGAAGTAAATTTCATATTTGCAAATATCAGATGTGGAAAATGCTTTTTATTTTTAAGCGATGACTCCAAACTTCTGTTTGAAAGTTACCAGCTTTTAAACAGACATGGTAGGTGGGTCAAGTTATACAAATTCTGAATATGTAAGATCTTGTCATTCCCAAAAGGCACCGAAAGTAAACCAGAAGCTGTGAAGCACCAGCCACTGTCACAGGCAAATCCTGGGTTAAAACGCCCTAATTTTTAATATTGTTTCTCTTATATTAAGAATATGCATGAAGAAAGTTTCATAATTTTACAGAAATGTTCCGTCACAATTTCTTGATTTAATCTCTTTGGCCTATTTCACCTTTAAGAACTCTTCAGCTTGACAGACTGGATCCAGCTCTGGCTTTTAAGACACACTTTGCCATTTTGTGTGTCAGCCTTAATCCATTTGTCTGTTTCATTCCTTTGATTCATGTGACCTGGAAGAGGAGAGTTCTGTTTAGTTTAATTTGACACACAGTAAACATCTTCACATTGCCTGCTTTTTTCCAAGCTCCCTGGAAATACTTACAAGACTTTGACTTGGTAAAATCTGTATATTTTTAATAGGGGCTTCTGATGTTTCATTCTCGATCCAATTTTTTGCCTTAATCTCATTTTCCATAATATGTTATTACAATAAAGTTGTGTTTTTTATTATATAGTACTATAGTTTTTCTTATGGGCTAGAAAATACATCTACATTAGACATTAATCTGGCTAAGTCATGTGAAAAAATGTCATCTTTATTGTAAACATGGAAAAGAGACATGGGTAAGACCTGACTTTCCAGATGACCAGATGTTGCTACTACTACTATTTTCTTATGATAACAGATTAAAAAAAAAAGCAATGCCCAGATGTCTGTCTTCTTACATGTTTCACATAAATGTAATATGCATGACCATGCTCTGAAGAGCTCACTGTGTAGCAGACAAAGGAGAAAGTTCAACTTGCCCTCATTTTACAATTAAGAAACTGAGGCCAAGAGAAAGTGACCTTCCAAATTTATACAGAAGATTTATGACCAAATTTGGAATTAAACCGGGATCTTTTAAGTCCCAAATCACTGCCTTTATCACAAGATCAACCTTCACTTCGGTTTATCTTTACAAAATGGATTTTATTATTACTTTAGCACTGACTGAGTTCTAAGTTTAGAACTAATTTGAGCCTGGAATAGCACGAGGGATGGCAGGGAAGCAGATTCTGAAGCAACTTTGCAAACATGCTCTGCTCTGACCTGTAACACAGCTGAAGTTAAATTCTGGCCACGTCAAAACCAATGGCGAAACTCCAGCTGACATCACTGCATCGCTTTCCACAACTCCAGCCTACGTGCCAGAACTTTTCAATAGTGTTTCAGGGCTTTGGTACTTCGAAGCGGGATTAATTTAAGGTTATGGGCCAAACCCACATCAATTCACTAGCAGGCTGAGGTGCTCTTTAGGAGTACAGGCTTTTCAGAGGAGTCCAACACTGACGGAGTTCTCCCACTGAACAATGAGGTATTTCAGTGTCCGTTGTTACCAGACTACAACATGCCTTCCAGGATCTCCATGTGGATGCCCTAGGACAATTTCTGCACTCCTGACTGCCCCAGGCAACCCCCCTCCGTATCAGTATCCTTCCTGCTGTAACGCAGCATCCCCAGATCGTCATGAAATTGGACAAAGGGGTTGTACGTGAAATCTGTTACAATCTGAAACTTCCTCAGAAAGCTTTCCTGAATCACCAATTTGCAGCAGTACTGTATCAGAGAATACTGAACAGAAATGAAAACAAAAATCTATCTTTTAAGTAGAGGTAGACCTTAAAACATTAGATCAGTCTGAATTTTAAACAGGAAATAACCTCCAGGTGTCAAAAAAATGAACGAACCAAGAAGGGTAAAGGAAAATTCAGCTGATCCCTTAACAGAGTTGTAGAGCACTGAAAATTCAGCTGTTTTTTTTTTTTCCCCTAAGGAGAGAGGAGACAATAAATGTAGGGCAGAGAGATATTTTCAGAAAGTTCATATTGGAGTGCTTGGTCCCAGCTCCCCTCTCTCATGTTTTTGTCACTATGGCTTGAACTTCCGTACCAGGAACAGACACTGAGGCACAGAATCAGCCCTGTAAATGAACAGTTCCAGGCACTGCTTACACCCTGTTATGCTCTTCATAAAAAGTTACAGACGACTTTTGAAGAAACACAGAAAAAAATTAACAAGAGCTGGTTTAAAGCTCAGTTGTTGTCCGAGCTCTGTTTCTCGTTTTGCATTTGCTATGTGAACTTAGAAAAATGTTTTGTTCCTTATGCTTCTTTTGGAGATTTGCCTATGAAGGGAATGCAGAAAAATATCAAATTGCCTGCAGGAAAGTGAGTGTCCAGTTCCACTCCCTAGGGATGAAGATCTTCAAGCTATTTTAAGCTTATTAAGCCTACTGCCAGTAGCAGGTTCAAATTAAGCTTAAGATATTTAAATAGCTTTGTGTACGAGGCGCTGATCAAGCAACAAGGTTTAGCTGGAGACTGTTTGATGACATTTTGCCTTAACTGTACTCACTGCCTGTACTCCGAATACTGTGGGAACATAGGTGGGTTTTGAGGATGACTTCGCTTGTGTGATTAAATCATGAAAGCCAACAGCCTGCTGGATTGAGAATAAGGAAAGCAGGGGAAAAAAAATAAATTAATTTTAATTTCAAAAGCCACAAGTCAAGACAACAGCATGAGCTCAGGAGAAGACAGATGCACCAGCACTGCTGCGTGGCCACTTTTTCAGTTTAACGCCCAGGAAAACGGATTTTTTTTCCTCCCATGTGTGTCTAAAGGCAGAGAATATCTTTCATGAAGTACCGACTGTTTAACTTCTCCAGCCTCCAGGAGGGCAAGTGAATAGAGAGCTCTGTTCTATCATAAACACACAAAGATGGGCAATTTTAAGTGTTTTTCACTGGTATTGTTAGGACTGTGGTATATCCAAAAAGGCTGTGAACAGCTTCAGTTAAATGCTAGCGGAAACCAATAAAAATCTGTAGGATAGCATCTCATCTAATGTGTTTTCTAAAAGTTGGATGAACTTTCTATTTGGCTTGAAGGAATGTAATCTTTTCCAGATACAACCTGGGTCTGTTTTTTTAAGATACTGCTTAAGAATCAAGGCTTCACAGAGTGTTTAGAGGGACACGAATACTGTACAACAAAGCTCTTCCCACTCAATTCTAGTGGCAAAGAGTCAATAAAAATTGCTTCTAGGAAAGCAGGACAGTTTTGAAGAAGTGCCTTGAGAACAGAGAAAACAGGGAGGGACGTGGCCGCGGGTAGTGTTACTCCTGGGATCAGAACCGTAGCTCTGAAGGCAACAGACCCAAGCCAGCTGCACAGTGGGAGAAGGAGCGCTACGCGCGGCCAGCTGCTAGGTTTCAGCAGAAGCTTCAGTTTCAGCAGACTGCCATAATACAAGCTCTTCCCGTTACTTCCCTTTTAAAGGCAAGTTGCTTGCCTCACGGTATTCACCGCTGTGTTTGTATTTAACCCTGGAACTCCAGGCAGCTCAAAACCACAGACATTACTTTAAGGTAAGCAACACAGAATTTCTGGTAACAAAAGCAGTTAAACACATCTGTAAATCCTTGTGTGCAGTGTACAAGACTCATGTAGTCAGCTCCCTCCTTGCACACGGGCTCTGTGTGCTTACCCCTCCAGGGTAAGTCCACAGCACTTTACAGGCCGCCCTCGCAGTACTACTGGATGAGGAGCCATTGTGTGGGCAGTGAGAAAGAAGCTATTCAGATCTAACCTCAGGCAGACATGAAAGTCTTATTATTTCAGTGCATGCCTAAGTGAATGACTGTTGCAAGGAGAAAGGTGCTTCTCACCACAGTCGACCTGGAGAACAGACAGGGTGACAGGAACTGAAGTTAAGAGAAACCTGAAAAGTCAGAGACAGGACAGTGGTATCCACGGTCATCTTTTCAAAGGGAATCTGGTAATTGACTGACTCTCTCCAGAGGCACATAAGGAGGAAGGCCATCGAAGGAGTTCCTAGTGATCAAAAGAATAATGGATGCTGGATCAACCCATAAGGTAGAAGCAACATCTACCTGGAAACTTTCACAGAAGAAAAGGAGTTGGAGAAGACAACAGGAGATTCCTCTCCATCCCCAGGATGGATATCCCAGGGAAGGCGTAAGTTCACATGACAGCAAGAGCCCTATGACCTGTGTGCATGGTCACTCGGGCACAGCTCTGAGAGGAACACTGCTCAGATGCAGTTCAGCAAAGCTCTAGTGCTGTAGATGGGGTGGGATTAGTACCAAAAGCTAAAAATCCTGTTAACTGCTGCAACTATTGTCACACCGGATGAAATAGGGAGCAAGAATGTCTCAGTTTGGGAGAAGACGATCATTCCCAAAGAGTATGTTCTCTGTAAGAGGACAGAAACACACACAGAGGCTGGTTTGCCAGCTTGAGCATGTAAGAATAGGGAGACATAATAACCTACAGAGACAAACATCCACAGCCTCTGCGGAGCACCTGTGACACTGTGGGACTTTTACCAAGGCAACTCACGCAAGTGCTGAAAACCAGATGGAGTGAGGGACTGCCAAAGCTAAAAGCTCACTCAGCACCAAGCAGATGGATGGCATCAGGTCAAAGGTTGCTGCTGGATGTGAACTTGGCACCAGAACTGGGGCCAGGGATGGAGAAAGATCTGGAATCAGATGAGTCCCCGGCACCACTCAGAGATGCGAGATTTACATGCTGTAAAGAAAGGGGCTGTATTCCCGACAATTAGATTTGGAAATCGACACTATCGGCTACAAGCATCCAAAGAAAGTCTCTGAACGATTGCAAGCTTGTTTGCAGCAAACTTACAGCTGTCAACACGCAAGCTGGCAATGGAAGTGGGCAGAGGTGTGCCCGCTGACTGCATTCTTTAGTCCCCAGATTCATCCACCCCCATGCCTCATGGTCTTGCTTCAACTGCTGCGGAGTGGGTGGGAGCAGATGGTCACATCAACTTTGGTCAAGAGAAAACAGGGCTGAAAGCAGCCTCCTGCCGATGCACTGTATTTAACCCGACGTGCTTCCCTAGCCTGTTCTTCACAGTCCGCAGTACTGACAGTGGCCTCGCCAGACAACTGCTTACTACTAGAAAGTTTATCTTACTGTTTAGCTCAGTTTTCTTTACTGTAAGGTCAAATCATAATTTCTAGTCCTATCACCAGTGGACAGAGAACAATGTATTTCTTTCATCTCTGCAGCAATTTCTTACGTACTGGGGAAAAGTGCATCTTATCTTCCCTCAGGCTTCTCTTCTTTAGACAAAAACACCACTTTTTTTTTTTTCAGTCTTTCCTCATAAGTCATGTTTCAGACCTCTGATCATGTTTTCTCCTTTGCAGTTGTCTGCATCCTTTTTGAAGCAGAGTACTCAAAACTGGACACCTTCCAGCAAAGTATTACTAATGCCATGTAAAGCCAAGGGATTATTTTGAGTTTTACAAAACAGTCATGTTAATACACTGTTTATTTTTTGCAAGTGTGTAACATTATTGCTTCCAGTTTACTGATGTTTTTAGTGAAATATCCCTCCTCTTGGGACCACACAGGTGATTATTCCTACCTTCGTACTTTGAACTTAAAAGGACTTACTGGAAAAAAGGCCTAAAAAGCATATAAATCAAGATTATTTGAATTTTAACCCTGTCCTTCAACACGTTTGTAACCCCTTTGGCATGACAGTCAAAGCTGCTTTTCTGCTTGAATATTTGACACTTTTTAGCCCGCTACCCTTCCTCTTACCATACATAGTTCCAGATACACTTCATGATCTCTGCAGACTTCTTAAATCAGCTGATTTAAGAATACAGGCAGACCTGGAGACATGGGGAAGGCACAGACATCGAGCAGCAAGGGCTAAGCAGAATCCTCTCTTCCTGTCCTCTTTGCCAGGCAAAGGAAAAGAATGCTTGACATGATCGCTATCAGAAATTACTGGAGTTACTCAAGCACTCTCAAACTAGACAGCCGAACAAACGCTTTCACAGATGGATGCTGGACCAGCATTTAGCATGAAAAATCTGGTTTTATAACAGATTTAATTATATCATGCATACTACTTCTAAGAGTGCCTGCTGATGTCAATGGAAGCAGATGCCTTATCCTTGCGAATTACTCTGAAGAGTAAACTCCCTGGCACCGCCCTCTAGTTCCTTCCCTTTCTCAGTAAGCATCCCACTTTTGCAGGAAAGTCCCTTCCCTTTCTAAGAGAGCAAAACATCTTGTCATACTCTCACTCTGCCTCTCAAGCACTCACTCTAGGCTTTCACCTTCTCGCTCCGACTAAACCCCGCTCTATTCCCTGGCTATCTTGCACAACCCTGGCTGTGACTGCTTGTGGGGTTGTAACGTACTGACTTCCCACTCGGCGTGGAAATGGGAGCCATGAAGCGAGGTGATGACGTACACCACAGCTGCTGTAACAGCGGCAGGGAAGGCTTTCCTGGAGCAGGTGATAGACTAAGTGCATGCTTATCCACGTCACAGAACTCTACCCTGTCTTCCCACTGGAGAGCCTCCTCTCCAACATCTCCCACAATATTCCCAGAGGCAAGTAGAGCATCCTGAAAGCAGCCAGTTCCAGTGTTATCCACATGAGAACCGGCCAGTTTCTGAAAAATCATCTATTTTTAAACTAACCTGTGAGCTCAGAAGCATAAAAATCTAAACTGCCATACTCTTTAATTTTTTTCCCCACTTGGCAAAACCCCTCTTTTCTCTCCATTTTATATTTCTTTAGTTGTAGCAGGACAGCTACAGACTCTGTACCTAAAACTTCAACAGTGAATAATGTTTTCATGATATAGAAACAATATTAAATGAATTTTAATTATTTCAGAATCTACTTGTACAAGAAAATTCTCAAACACCAACTTTAAGAAGAAGAGATTGTTGAAAATGAGGGGACAAGTGCTTGGTCTGCAGGCAGAACACACTGTCCCCATGGGGCAAGGTAAAGAGAAGGAGAAGCAGGAAGCATCTCCCTTGCCATGCCAAAGGAATGTTACTGACTTGGGCAAAGAAAGGGAGGCACTGTTTTCAAAAGGACAGGAAAAGGAACAAAGCACAGATTAAAACCAACTACTTCATCCCCCTTCAGCTTTGCTTCTTACTGATCAGCAAAGAAAAGGGAGGAGAGAGCTGCTATAAATCATTGGTTACATTAGGTGAGAAAACACTCGGCAAAGCTAAATGCCGGGTATAAAGACAGATGAAAATACGTTACTTCAGGCCAGCGCTAGTTTAGCTGATTTATACCCTGCAGAAAATCCATTCCAGGGTATATTGTTCATTTACCTGTATTATGATCAATTTAGATCTACGTTTAATAAATTTTTTGAGCAATGCTGTACTCTTTAAACAACTGATAATCAGTGGCCTAATACTGTTGCCTCTGCATAATTCTTGCTGATGTCCATGCCTTCCAGATATGTGCATTTGAGGGTTAACTACTTAGAGCCTCTGCTGGCCTCAACTACCAAGATCATTTCTATACAGAATGGCAGACTGAAAAATTGCATCCACTTCAGCAATGACTGTCCTACATAAACACTGACTGGGTCATGAAACCAGAGCGGCCATTCAGCTGTGTGTTTCTGAAACAGCACTCTCTCATCTTTAATGTTGCCAGAATAACAAGATGATTGACTGGCCAGCAGTCCTCCTTCACCGGGAGACGCGTTGTTTTACTGCTGAGGCAATTCATTCCATAGAACCATGCTGCAATCTGGGATCCTTTCACAGGTTTCTAGCGTGAGAACCTCTACCCATAGTTTAAAAAAAAAAAAAAATGTACGTAATAAGCCCTAGTAAATTAGAATGCTAGTTATTGTTCAAGAAAGGAAGAGCTACACCTATACATTTTAGGACTACTATTTTATTTAAGCAGGCTACATATTAAAATTATGTACATACATTTCTAACATTTCCCGAATTTGAGATTATCATCTTACATGGGGGAGGAAAAGAATACTCTTAGGTTTAAAACCAAAGAAAAACTCAAAGCCTCACCCAATCTGCTATCATATCAGGTCACACTGACATAACGTGTTCAGAAACAAAGCTGGAGCCTTCAGACACATTACGTTACTGTTCCTTTTGAGCAAACTGAGTAATTGGTAACAGCAACAGCCTTAGCTTCTAGACAGACACGTCCAGAGAGCAGAGAAACACACACCCTGACAATGAATTGTACAACTGTTTTCTAAAGCAGGAAAAAGCAAGAACTGGGATTCCCGAGTTCAATTTTAAATGCCTCAAGAAGAATGCTTCCAGTAATTGCAGGCATCTTCCCATCTACTCTCTATTCTTCCATGCTCCAGCTTCTTCTGCTCTTCTCCTAGCTATCTCCCACCCATCATTTCTCAGTCTACTCTGCACTGTTTAACATTTATATACGCCATATATCCTTTTTACTTCCTCTCCCACCCAACAGATAGACAGAGAAAACTTTAAATTATATTTTTAACAAACATTCCCCTGGCAATATTTTATATGTGACTGTCTAAGCCAACAAAGCAACGCGTCAGATTCAGCCCTGGATTACCTCGCAGATTCATTGCAATAATGCTAAGGATGAATCTGGCTCTAGGACTTTTGTTAGAGGAGCAGTTGTTTGCACTCATAAGTCATTTACCAAACAAAATGAAAAAGTCATCTAGTAACATGGGGAGTACAATGGCACCAGCAAACATGTGAACCCGAAACACATGAAACAAGAAGCAGCCAAGAGCAATAAACTCCTAAGGAAACATAGATGCCTTTGACCAAGGCCAGACAGACATTTGTTGGAAGCCAAGATTAGTAAGCCTTACCACTTATAGTTACACGATCATCTTTGGAAGAACTCTGTGTTTCTTTTAACTGAATCTCTGAGCTCACATCCACTTTTCTTCCAGACAACTGTAAATAGGCTTTGAGAGAGGCAGGCACCTTGACTGTAATAGAACCTGGTATTAATTTAAATGAAAGCCAGTTAGTTTAATATTGAGATCAAAGCATAAACCAGGCAATTATTTGGCTAATTTAAAAAACAGTAACAACAAATGACAACTTGATTAAAGAGCCTTCAGACACAGTAACCTATTTTTTTGTCTCTGAAAGGATAAATGAAGATCTCTTCATTTATCATAACTAGAATACTGTATGTCACATGTAGAAAAAGGTGTCACAGTATTTCCTTGGCAGACATGAAAATTAACAGTGATGTGTAGTGCTAGCAACAGCTCTGGGTTGAGGATCCTATTACAGGAATGATCAAGAGAAGCAAATCTAATCAATCTCACAAGTTTTATGACTTTAGTTTCATCTTCTAGTTGCATATTTACATTCCTGAGATCGGATTTGTTGATTCATCCAGCCACTGCATGGCACATTATGGAAGAAGGGCACCCCTGGAATGATGAGACGCCGCTTACATCCTGTTAACACTAGCAATTGTCTTTGCTTTACTGCACAGGGCCAGCTGTTCACACCTTTGAACAGATGCAGCCTCAAAAGTGACTAACCAGTTTAGACTATGTATCATTAAAAACGTAAACTACTAGCAAAACTGCAGCTTTGGTGGCCCAAATAATTCTACCGTTGTGATTAAAACCATAAATTCTAAGTTCTGCTTCCCCTAAATATGTGCTTCTGTGCATCAGACTGAAAGCAGACGGTGGGCCCCCAACCTGCCCACCTTAGTCACATTTGGAATTACTCAGTCACAGTGTTTGGAAGCTGCACCCTACGCATTAAAACAAAACCTACTAAAATTCAGAATACACTTTCTGTGTGTATCATTTTTGCCCAATTCCAACATTCACTTTAGAAAAACATAAAAAAGTTTCCTTAAATACACCCCAAAAAGCTGAAGCAGAATATGATAACTGATGTTGTAACAACTAAATAGCAGTCAGAAAGTGACCCTAGCTATGCAATTTAAATTCAGCAGAATCACTTGTCTGTGACAGTCCTGATGAACAAAAAAACTATCAATATAACTTAGGCTTAAATTTTGCTGGATATACAAAAGCCTTAGGATAAGAAAGGGAAAAGCTCTTCATCTTTTGGTGCTCCTTAGAGAGTTGCTCAGTAATGTGACTCATAAAATCCAACACACATACAGCTAATTTGTCACAAACAGGACATTTTCTACGCTGCAGCTGTCAGCAGTTACTCTAAATTTACGGCGTAAAAGAAAAAAGAACTTCATCAACTTTGCCTTTGCTAAACTGTGCTGCCAGAAGACATATCAGGCAATGTTCTGAGAATAACATTAAATAGCTTTTATTAAACACATTCCTGTTTCCCACTAATTCAAAGAGAAGTAACTTAGTGTTAAGTGATTCAAAAGATAACTAGGAAATAATATAAAGATAAATTTCTTTGCACCAACGGAACTAGAATAGTTTGAACAGAAGAATGGCACGCAAGTGATTTCAACGCATTTCCTCCATTATTCCCCTTCTGAGTAACTGCTAGGATTTAACAGGGCACAGACATTGTATCACAGACAACCACAGAAGGGTACCAAACACCATGTTCTTTTAAATCACCCAAAGTGTCTGACATGATGTTAAAGTCAAGTACAGAAATGCTGTAGTGGTTTTTTTTTGCAAAACTAGGACCAACGAGATGTATTCGGGGCTTTGTTATTTGCCATTCAGAAGATATGATATTGTAAAACCATAAATCCAACTTCAGGAGTGAGCTTTTAACTAAGAAGTGAAATTCTGGTGAGTAATCAGGAGACAAAAGGAACAATGGTAGGACAAGTCCCCTCATCTTTGTTTTTCTGCCTTCCAATTTCAATGACGGGACATTTCACCAGCAAAAAGAAATGCGAATGTGTGATGGCTGTCACTTTGCACGTACGTATATCAGCACCATGGCATAAACTGTGCTATAGACAAAGGAAGATTGCAACCTAAGTCAATTCTGCAGAACTCTGCTGGGTAGATTGCCAGGAAAAAAGCATTGAAAACTTAAAAAAAAAACCAAAACATTTTTTTAAAGTATCATTGTCCCTTGCAGAGTTTAGGGTATTATAAGTATTTATACACATTTTCTAATAATGAGGTAAACCAGAATGTAGATAACCAACAATCCCAAACTCATTTTTTCCAGACAGATAAGCAAAAACCCCTTACCCCTTTTTCTCTCACATCATAAGCTGCCACAGAAAATATTTTGGTTTGCTAACCTTTCTGAGATTTCAGATCCACTTTTCTTAATTGACTGACATAAACATCTATTGCCCCATGATGTGTAGAAGCTTTTAGACTTCCATCTGATGAATCTAAAAATAAAAAAAAAAGAAAATAAAAGAACTTGTGTATCATTCATGCTTTTCAAATGAAAATTTGCTAGAATCTTTCTTTGTATTTGAACTGATTTTGTCAATTCCATGTTTGAGAAATATATTTATTTACTCAATGGCAGACTTCTCTTAGAAAAACACATTTCTGAACAAAACTCATCTCCCCAGTCCAGAATTACAGCACACGCTGGTCCCAAAGCCATGGCCCTGCAGCTGTTACTGGACTTGTAGCATCTACAATACTCCCCTCTTTCCACAAGGATGGATTCATCTTCATGCGAATATCAAGCACGAAGTCGGAACACTAAGATGTATTTTAGTTTCCATAAGAGCTCATTTGCTGAGACTCTGCACAGAGAGACCTTTACCCAGGAAAGCCACCCCATGCAAACAACACGCGGTTGTGCATTGTAACACGTTGTTACACAGAACTGTGTATCAGGCTGTGTAAAGTCTGACTCACTACATCTGAATTTCAAACAAACGATTGAGGTAACTATTGCACTTTAATATACATAGTAAAACAGCATTCGTTCTTTGCCCTGGAATGGAGACCCCTACCTTTTCCTCTATACCTAATTAGCTGAAATTTATGGTAACAAAGCTTTCTAAATAAATCTTTTTACAAATAGAAAGCCTTTAAGAAGCCTTAATTACATACTTGAGAAGTAGTCTTTAATTACTTGCAATGTATTCTAGTTTTAAATACACAAGTTTCCACAACATTACAGCAAAGTCCTAACAAGTTAAATTTTGAACTACTGAACAGACCTATAGCTGATAAAAATTGCAAAGAAATTATGAAGCAACTCTGGAGAAGCTTAAAAAATTTACACAAGAGCAAAAGGCAGTCAGTGAAACATCTTTTTAGATACACTGATAGAAATTAAAGTATTTGCAAGAAATCTTGAAATACTGATAGAGACTGTTTTTCTTAGTTTCTGGATGTGCGTAGAAAAAGAAACACAGTCAAGCTCTCAGAACTAGCTAAAATAACAAAATCAAACCTGAATGAAACTTCCCATTCTAAAAAGTAAAAAAATTTTAAAATTCCCTAGATCACATCTTAAAAACTGAACCCTCAAGACAAAAAACTCACAGATGCAGCATTACTTCTAAATACACCAAGTTAATTATTGGTTTTTTTCCAGTTATCCAAACCTGTCTTAAATACTGTAATTGTTTTCTATAATTGAGTCCCTTCTTAAAATAAAACTTTGGTTTTTGTCTCAGTACTAGGGAATTGCCTTGTGATAACACTCATCACAATGGAGGATCTTGGACACCTCAGTTCACTTTCATCTCTGGACCATACACAAATTTATGTTTTTGAGAAAGTTGAAATGTACTTAATTGTTAGGTTTCAGTTGATTTAAGACAGTGAGCATCACAGCAAGTCACCAAACACTTTAGGTCATCTAGTGTGGGTTAATGAAGAAAGAAATTAGCAGAATAAGGCAAACTGGCACTGACTTATTTAAAAAAATACAAATTAGTTTCTTCAATCTCAGTGTACAGTTTTCCTTGCCAGAATAAGTCCCTGCTGCCCATAAGCTGGTTAAAGCTGGTTCCTCCCATCTGAAACAGAACAACCACCGTAAGATTTATCATTTCTGACTACACCAAACATAGAAGATTCATTTCTTCAATGCATAACTGGATTAAACTTTAGTAACCCCGTAAGGAAAAACAATCTTTTTTCTGAGCTGGTAGGGGAAAATTTGGCTTCGTAGCAGCTAATATATAATCAGACCATACCCATTAACACTGAGAAATTAGCAAATTCTAGCAGGACTGAAGATGAGCAAGCAGTGTGCTCTGGCAGAAAAGAAGTCCAACAGTATCCTTGACAGTACAAACTGGAGCATGGCCAGTGTATCAAGGGAAGGGATTATTCCCCTCTACTCAGCACTTACTAGACCATGCCTAGAATAAAGCATACACTGTTGGAGCTTCAAAGAAAAGGGAGACATCAATAAACTGGAGTGAATTTGGCAGAGAAACACCGAGATAGTCAGGGTGCAGAGTACCTTCCCCATCAGCAGAGCCCGGGGGATGAGGGCTTGCTCAGCATGGAGAACAGACTGCTTCAGGACCTGAAAGCAGCCCCCTAGTATCTGTAAGGTGGTGATCAAGAAGACAAAGCCATGCTCCTCAAAGTGGCGCATGACGAGAGTATGATGAGTTTCAGTCTGGACAGAAGGAAAATTGTTTTCACCCTGAGGACAGTCAAGCAGTGGAACAGTTTGCCCAGAGGGCCTGTACAGTCTGCATCCTTGGAGGTTTTCAAGACCACAGGATAATGCCCTGAGCAGCCCCACAGCTGGCATGGCTTTGAGCAGTTGGTTGGAGACTAGAGGCTGCTTGAGCAGGGGGGCTGGACAAGACAACCAGCAGAAGTCCCTTCCAACATCAACCATTCTATGATTCTGCAACTTCCCGAGGTCTCTTCCAACCTGAGTTTTCCTACAAATTTACTGAATAAAATTTTAAAAGATTAAGCTAGTTCTAAAAACAAAGTATTCCATTACTTTTTGTAAGATAATTCAGACTTCTAATGACTATTTTAAGTAAAAATCGGTCTGGTTGTTTTAAATTAAGAAATCATTCAAAACCCATAGAACACTTGTTAGAAGTAGGAAGCTTCTAGTACAGGGTTGGAAAACAACTTGTCAGTGACTAACAAAGCTCACAGTATAGGAAAAAAAAAAAGGAATAATCCCTACTTTCATATTTTAACAATGTCAGTGTGAAACACTTCCATATGCCAGATGCTTAAATTCAGACTGAATTTTGGATAGTCTTCAAAAATAGTTTGTTTACAAAAAAGTAATAACAAAATAAAAAACAAAATTTAACAAAACTATTCTATAAGTAATAAAAAAGTAAAAAATGAAAGAAAGAGACAATAGCATTGGTTTCCTGTTTTAATGCAGAATTATCCAAAAATAAGAAACTGTCAATACAGTCACTTCTTTCCCCAAAATATTTTAAAAAAAATTCAGCACTCTCAACTCCAGTTTGACTTGTAAATAAATACCTCAAAGGCAAAGAACACATCCCCAAAAATCTAGAGATGAGGGCACTTTTTCAGTTCACTGACAAAATCCTGCCTCCAGTGGAATAACGAATGAAAACCCAGCCAAGGAAGTTCGAAGATCTGAGTTGTTCTTCCTATTTCTGTCAGCAAATCCCTGTCAGGCCTCTGGCAACCCAACAAGCTGTTTTGTGGCATAAATTTCTCATACACAAAAACCTTTCACTTAAAACTTTACATTTTCTTTCTCAAGTTTTTAGAGTTGAACCACTGGATCTTAAAAGTCTTTTGACTGTGGAAAATGTCATAAAAAATCTAAAGAATGCTTGATGCTCTTTAGGAAAAGATTAAGTCTAACTAGTGCCTTCAGAATTAAAATCTGAAAAATAAAGTTTATTCAACTGTAAGATGTGTCTTAATGTTTAAGCTGAACTTGGTTAATTAAGGAAAATAATCATCATCTGCTGATGGAAAAAGCTACCTCCTGTGTCAAGAAAGCCTTTACTTAAACACTTTTCATACTCTACGAGTTTATTTAACAGAAGGAAAAACAGACTAGAGAGCTTAATTTAATTCTGTGGTTTAATGACTAACTCATAAGAATGTGTATTGCATTCATTTTCCAGGAATGTTAATACAGATCGCTTAGAAACATAAGAAGAGTTGTAACAGTACAGCTCGTCCCTGAACACATAGACTCAGTCTAACTCGTGCAAAGCCCAGTGGGTTTTGTGGTATCAAAAATTAGACAGTGCCTTGCCCAGCTGCAAAAGGCTGACAGACAGGTTTGGAAAGGATCTCCTTCAGCTACACAGCTATCAGTGCTACTCCTGAAAAGAAAAGAGGGCAGAGATATCTGTGAGGAATCACCTCCTTTTCACTTTTCCTGTGAATATTTAGCTTTCAGAAAGGAGAAGGGAAGAGTCAGAAAAGAGGTATCTCGGCGATAAAGTAGAACCTACCTACTGTGATACTCCCTGTTTTGGTCTGAAGGCTGGTGTCACCTATTCAGAAAAGAAAAAGGGAAAAAAATGTTAAAGGCATATTATTTAACTGGTGTCTGAAATCACAACAAAGGCTAAAGTAATGTGATCATATACAAGGGCATTATAATTGTAGCAGTATATCTAATTTGCACATAAAAGCAAAATAGCATAAACCAGCTGTATTGCTAGAATGTTATTGCTTTATGAACAAAAAATCTCAACACATGTGGGTAACAATGAAGTGATTCCAGACAAGAAAAACACTCCAAGTAAGGCCTAAAGACACAGGCTGGATGTGAGGGAGAAAAAAGCAGAGAGGCATTGTGAGGCTAAAGCACAATATTTTCTTATTTTATTTTAGGCCATTTTTTTTTTAACTGCTTTGATGCCTGCAATGGCACTATGGATGATTTAAGTAGTTTAATAGGATGAGTAACATAAACAGTTTCTATTTTCCTCTTTTATATATGTACATACATGCCCAGCCCCACCAGAGGGGATTTTTTGCTTTATTCTCAGAGGCTACTTCCTGGACTCACTGAACATTACCTACTCCCACTAAACTTATTCTGTGCATGACAACCCCTTGCCAATGCTCTTCATTGACTTCAGTGAGATCTGAGCGTGTTGGACAAACCAGAGAACATCAAACAAAAGAGCATGTAAGGCATAAAATGTAGAATGGTCTCCTGAACTTGCATTACTTTGAACAGGCACTAGTGTTTTAGCCTTAAAATTTCAAAATACATACTCTTCCCCTTTACCTAGGGCATCAAGAGAATCTGGAAGGAGAACAGAAGCGCCATCTATACTACTAACAGTCTAACAAAGTTGGTAGAATGTTCCATAGCTCCATGTATGTTACACATGTGTAACTGTCTCACAAAAAATGCTTTAGATTCAAAAACTAAACCACAACATGTCATTCCTGCCACTCCTTTATCCCCCCCGGAGGATAACAGATCGAAAAATAAGGCTGATCACAGTAATGGAGTCCAATTTAGTAATACAGAGTATGCCCAACAACTGTCAGCTCTTTTGGAAGAGGCCTTTAAAAATTGCGAATGGATCAAGTTCTGCTCCCATCTTCTGTAATTACACAGAACTAAACAATTATTAGGGTAGAATGCATTCCACTGTATATGACCTGTAGTGTTTTTCTTAGTGGTCCATGTGCTGACCGCTAGAAAAGCAGCCTATCATCAATAGTCTGAAATATAACATTTCAAGCACATACTGTACAAAATACTTAGGGGTTCTGACAATCAGAGTCGAAACAAAACCATATTTCAGTGAACTTGAAAGACGTTTGGCTTTACTGTTTTCTGTTTTTAAAAGGCACACGATAATTATTCCACCCTTTTCCCCTTTTTTATCATGACTACAACTTATTTTTGTACAACCTGCAAAACAGCCTAGGGTTTTGTCAGCTAGCAACTCGCATGGAACTGAAGCTAGTCTGAATATAGCCCCTGTGACTTGCAGATTTGCTGGTCTGTTCTTTGTTTTTCTGGGTTTTTTGTCTTCTGTTTTGATAAGCAGGTCCTTGGAAAATTAATAATAAACATGTAGAAATCAAACTTGTATTAACCACAAACTCATATGGCAGATACGACTAATGTTGCGTAATGTAAACATATTAGTGCGATAGGCTCACTGCAAACATTTAGCTAGAACAAAAGTTGCTTTTCAAGCAGATGGGAATGTCCTGCTGTGTTGTGACCGGCACTGTCTACAGACAGTGCACAGAAGTGTACTTTTGGTCATGTACATTGTTCCATGCAGGCCAAACACTTAAGAGTTTTTAAGCTAGCCAAGTACTTTTTGGATACGTCAAGGGCAGAGGGAAAGGCCTGACTAGAGGTAATCACTGGTTTGATTATTACATCCAACTGACTTCAGCACTGTAGTGCAATATTACAAAGTCCAAAATACACTAGTCTTAACAGAATATTGATCACAGTGGCTTAGTGTTTCTTCTTTTTATTGTTTCTGAAGAAGTATTTACCTTTTCTATCACGTACAAGCTTTGCTTCTCAATAAACATTATAAAACTTCAAACTACAGTATTGCAAGTCAGGACAAGCATAGGACCAAGGGCAAAAGCCATCTTTTGGGATATAAATAAAGGGATCACTTTACATTGTATTTCCATTCTTTCAATTTGTTTTGAAGGCTTTCAAGGTGGCAGGGTTATTGTGACACACAGAAAAAGCAAATAAATCACAGTGCAGCTTTTTACCAGTTTGACTTTTGTATTTTGAATTTGCATCAGACAAAGTAAGATATGCCTAAAAAGGAATGAAGATAAAATTAATTTATACAATCCCACTTTATATACAGTGAAATCCAGAAACATACCTGAAATTTACAGAACTTACTTTGGTATATCAGATCCTTTTCAGAAGGGATTATGAACTGCCAAGCACCAGCATTATATCATACTACCTTCAAAACACCGCAGATTTTCTACTTTCTCTTACTCAGGTCACTGACAGGATAAGACAGCTATATGTTCACCTTTCCCTATATACTAACTAGCATGTAAATATATAAAGTAACTTCAATAACCATGTTTTCCAGTGTGACACTTTCCAATAATGAAATAGTTACTAGACTATGACAGAAGAAAAGGTCAAAAGCAAATATAAAGTCCTGCACATGAGACGAATCAACCCTGTAAAGCAGTAACAGTTGAGTGCTGACTGCAAAGAAGCTTTGTAGGTAAGGACCTGGGCATCCTGACAGACACCAACTTCAGCATGAGTCAGGGAGGAAGGCCAACTGCATACTAGGTTGTATGACTAAGAGCATAGCCAGCAGGTAAAGCCCTCTTGTAAGCTTGCATTTGGAATATTGTGTCCAATTTTGGGATTCCCAGTCAAGACAGACACTGATGTACTGAAGCGAGGCCAGAAGGTACTGAGAAGATCAGGGGCCCAGAGCACACTACAGCTGCTCAGAGAGTTGAGTTTGTTTTGCTTTGCTTTAAAAGCAGAAGGCTGAGGAGGAATCTTCTTGTGGTCTTCAGCTACCTAATGGGAGGGTATAGAGAAAAGAGACAGACTCTTCTCACAGTGATGCAGCAAGAAGAAAGGATAATACAAGTTGCCCTAATGGAAATTATGATTAAAAAAAAAGGGAAACTTTTTTTCCCCACCAGAAGGATAATTCATGACTGGAACAAGTCGCCCAGAAAGGTCATGCAATCTCTGTCCCTGAGAATATTCAAAGCTCAGCCAGACAAGGCCATGAGCAAGTTTGCTTTAGTTTGGACTACATGTCAAATTACTTTCTAACTTGAACTATTTTGTGGATAAGAAATTAATAATTAATGCAACTCAACCCAAGACTTCAGCACAGTTGCAAAGAAGGGTTTCCTTTTCTCCTATGTGCCCCTCTGGAGAAGTTTCAGTGCAACGTTATAACCCCTTGGATAAAGTAGCACATTTCTCAGTCTCAGAGCTGTTGCTCTTTTGTTTGTCAAGGGTCAAATCAAAAGCTCAATGGCACCTGACATCTCCAATGCCTCTTACAGAAGCTGGTGAAAATGACTCAAAACCAATTTCTTCAAAATAACACATTATTAATTTTCCATAAGAGTACAAAGCATGCAAAAGAGCAATTACAAAAGCTTGGACACTGACAGCATTGGAATTGCACAGCCCAAGATTCAGCTACAAAATGGGTTTCAGGCAGGTTTGTAAAGTTTGTCTTGCCTGGACTTCAAAGTTCTCAGTGCAAAAGCAATGACGTCTAGCTCAGTTTTGTGCACAGATGTGCTGATTTTATGCCAACTATAATATCAGCATACAGTCAGCTATAGGGAAACAGTGGGATTAACTGCCCAAGAAACAATCTGTCCAAGTGTTTACAAACAATACTACTAAAATTGAGCTACCTCAGGAGCAAAGACAAGAAGTGAAAGTGACCATTTTTTTCTAACATAAAACTATAATAGGAGTTTATCTTTTCCACTAATATACATGTGGTTTTGTGTGTGTATATATATATGCAATGTAATAATTTAAAAGACTTTAAAAGTATTTGCTCTTACTATTAAAACATGATTGAGGAGCATGATGTTTTGCAAAAAATATTTTTCTGAAAAAACAGACAAGAAATACCAAGCAAATGCAATTGTTTTTAAATGCAATTGTTTTTAAAAGAAACAGCTAAAATAACGTGAGGTGTTCCAGACACATTTAGCAGAGAGCTCATGAAAATAATCTTGAAGTAACGTAATAAATGTCTGTATAATTTGGATACAATTCTATTTGTTTTCACATTGTTCTTCAGCTAAATGACAATGAGGCATTACAAAGGAAGTCACTAGCTACAGCAGTTCTAATTTCATTTTTGTAGCAAGAAAACAAAATAAAATTTTTGGATGTGCAGTGGCATGAACACGCTCACAAACTGATCATTTCACAGTATCATTATATTGGTTTGAAGTTAGAAAAAACAAAACAGCTTATCAGACAGAAATACCAATAACAATACAGTCTATATGTTAGAAAAATACAGTAACAACAAGAAGAGAAAAAAATCTTATTTCTTCCTATTCACGCTGAAGTGAACTTTACCTAATAGGTTTAGAAACTATTCTTAAACTCACTATAAATGGACAAAGGAGTTCCTCCTTTAAGGAAGAAACAGAAGTCATTTCTTGAGCAAGATGACAACACAAAATTGCTAAGAAATTGTATCAAGTTGTTTATACGGCATATAGCTGGAAATTTGGAACTCTGACTGACTTAAGTAATCTTCACTCTTCGTACATCCTCCAGTTTGTTTAACTTCATGTTAAATCACCACAAACGCATTACAGCACAGTCAGAATTCAGTGGGAATTGTGTTAAATTAGAAAACCACACCAGATTCCAACCTTGACTGCTGTTTATATACAAGACACTCAAGTTGATGAATTTTAGTTCTAGATGAAGGACATTAAAGTGTAGATAGACTAGTGACTTTTTTTTTCCCCCCAAAAAACAGAAACTGTCACCAGTCTATTAGTATAGGGTGCCAGCACACACACAGACTATTTCTGCTAAAAACTTCCAAATTGCGGTCCAAGTTCGACCACAGTTCTTCATAGATACTGTAAGAGTTACTTAAAATAATGGATAGAGAGAGGGGAAGAAGCCTCTTTACTACTTTTAGCATAAATTTTTATTGCTGAATTTTAAAATATTTTCACATCCTTAGTATGTGTGATATTTCTTTCCTATAATATATGCTTTTTGCTATTTCACAAGTGTGCTTATAAAATTGTTTTTAAAAATAAACACAGCATGCTATATGGTAAGTTAATTCTCATTAATTCAGTCGCTAACAAATACAGAATTGTTTTCTTCACATGCTGTGCACACTTGGTTTACTGACAGTCTATAGCATTACTCCATTTGTTACTGTGAACATTACGAATGCCTCCAAAGCAGCTAAATTTGTGACAAGTAATTCTTTCTTACCATGAATGCTTCCCAGTAGAATATCACCAGCCACTGAAGACAGAGATGATGATTCTGCATAGAGATACTTAGTTTTCAGCAGCCCATCTTCAGTAGATATGTTGATGGATGTCCCCTGCAGCTTCTCTATATTCACGCTCTAAGAGAAATAAACTTAAATAAACATAATGGAAAACTTGTCATTACAGTTTGAAAAGACAGAGGGAAGTAACACTATTAAGAGGCAAAACAAATGGAAGGCAGTTGTTGGTGCAGAACAAATGGAATCAAGTTCTTAGTCAAAACCTACAGAAAACAAAAAAAACACCTTTTCATCCAACGGCACTGACTAACAAGTTAATGACTCTTTACAACAGTCCTATGAATTATTACATCCATCATACAAGTGAAGAACCCAAATGGATGAAGAAAAAACTCGATTTACTTTTAAAAAACAAAACACTTCATTTTGAAAAGTAATAAAAAGGATTAGCTTTAATAATGAAGACTTAACATTCATACAGTATCATGACATTTAAAGCACTAGCAATCAGTTTTCTGCCACCACATACTGAAACACCCACTGTCTTTGTTACATACAGTTATTTATGCAGATTTTTAACTGTCTCACTTTGTAAACATAGCTTTGGTGAAGGTTTGCAAAAAAAGCCACAGCTGCTTTTTTTCTCAGTGTAATTCTTCGTATTACCTTGGTTGTTCAGGCTTGGACTCTTTCTTAGACTCAAGCCTCAAGTTATACAAAGCCTTAAAATATGAGGGATAAGATCGCCGTTTCTACTTCTCAGCAGAAATGGAGAGAATGGAAAAGATGTAAAAAGTTGCAGTATGGACAGATTTGGGGAATTAAAGGGTGATAGATGAGATTACCTATGTACAAGTAACTAGTCGTGAGACACAGCCTCTGCCTACCTGAACAAAGATAGATGAAATCACATGCCTGTGCAACTATCATATGAATTTAATTCTACTCTTCCTCAGTCAAACTTGATTTATGATGGAATCATGCAATAGTTTATACTTAACCCCCATTCAATGTGTTTCTATTTTGCTTATGCAGACTTTAGGTGGATTGCACAAAATCCTTATTCATTACATGAAATGATATATGGCCTTCTAGATCAAACTATGCCTTATGTAAAATTATCTTTAAATCCACTTTGTCATTTTAGCATTGTCATCTTGTGGAAAAAAGTTAATACAAAAAAAATAAGTCTGCTGACCGTTCTAGTGTTATATTATGTAAAGAATAAGCTATGGATGAAGTAAGAATAATTCTGCCAAACAGCAACTAGTGTTGCACAAAATCCACGCTGTATTTTGTCCCAAGAAGTGTGCTAAAGAGGCTGGTTTAGTACGGAGTATAGGACAGTCAAATTATACTGCGACCTTACCAACCCGTACATATTGAGCTTTATGCTGTCTTTACACATTAAATCATAAGATTACAGAACACACTACTATCTTAAGACTTTTGACATGAGGCTACAATACAAAGTAGGCCTCCAAGAACGTAACAAGATACATTAACCTTTAAGAAAATCTGGTGATCAAAGTGCTGTGCCAGTATTAGAGCTATGTGAAAGTATCTACAATCTCTGCAGGCGATGCCGCTTAGAACTATGCTACAGAATCTAAGCATCAACAGTAAACAAAAATGATGATATTAAGGCATAATTTGTCACTACTGAAAGTGAGAGTAATTCAGCTTTTCAATCTTTCAATGCTTCTAACAAAACTCTAACAAGCAGAGACCTTAAAAACTCTAAGTATACACTGCAGCCGTCCTAGGAATGTTTCCCACAGCGTACTCCACTACTCCCTCACCCAGGATGGCAAAGTGTAAACCTGCTGTGGCCAAAGCAACAAGTCAAAGAAAAGCCATTGTCATTTTAGGCTCTACGATCTAAACCTGTTCTGAAGAGTTAAATAACTTCCAAAGAGCCTTTCCAATTTTAGCAGGGCTATCATTGCTATCCACACAATGAAAATACAGCAAGGCACACTTTAAGAGGGGTGAATAAAATAAAAACACCTGCATAGTTTGGGTGCAAACTGGCTGCCTTGTGGCATCCCTGAATAGGAAAAGGAAAGCCCAAAAAGCTACATCTGTTACTATGGTATGCAAGCCTTGACTCTATTTAGATATTTATCCTATTCAAATATTATTAAGTGCTTTATTATAAACAAACTCACATACCAACTCACATTATTTATCAGCCTCAACTACTTTCTTAAAAATGCACAGCAATAAAGAGTTGTCTCAGCACATGATAAAAAGAAGTACTTAGTCAGCTAGTTACTATAAAAAAAAAAAACCTCTACCAATACAATGAACATTTGTTTCAGAATAACCCAAATCTGGGGGGGGAAGGAAGTCAGACTGCTCAAGTATGAGACTAAAAAAGTATTCTAGATAGGGAAAGCATGAAAAAAAAAAATAGGATTGCTTTTTGCTGAGACTAAATATGTTTTTAATCCCCAATTCTTTAATTTTTATGGTTTTTTGGCAGAACATAGATGTTTGGCTCTGCTAAATAAGTGTTATAGATAAGTCCCTGTGGCACAGATTAGGTAACAACTCCCCAGTCAAACAAATTTCATTATTTTTGTCCATTGAGCCACTAGGTTTTCTGGAAAAATTGCTTCCCTGGAGAGCAGTCTTGGGAGTTGCAGTTACTGAGACTGACTACATGCTGAAGCTCCATCAGGTTCTCACCCTTTAAAGTGTCAGTCCATCTCCATAAATCAGACTGAGAATGTTTTTGCACCTTAACACATTTTCAAGACAAAAACTAACATCTTGCTATGTTTAAATACAACATAAACAGCTCCTTCCCCACATATTCCTCTTCTCGGCCTTACTTTTTGTGCTGTCCTTGCTCAAGTATTTTACTGGTGTCTTCTCCATTTTACCCCTTAAGAATATTCTGTTTCTCAAGTGCTTAGTGCCCTTTACCACATCCCTTCCCTCTCCACCTCCAGGAGGGGGCTGGAAATGCTGACAGAGCCATAATTACATAATGATGACTACAACTGTTGGAAGAAACATCTCATACAAACACACACAGGAGATGTAAGACTGACTGACTATTAACAGAAGTGGCCCATTGAGAAAAGAAATCTCACACAGTCCTTCCTAACTACACACCAAAGTTTGTTAATGAGAAGTCCAGTAACACAAGTCAAAATATGGTTCCACAACTGTAAATTCCTGTTAACATGACTCACTTCACTCAAGTTACTACAGTTTTACAACTGTAAGAGAGACTTCTACCAATAGTACACACTATTTAAGTATTTATGATCACAAAGATACACTTTAGCTTAATCTGCATGAAATTTGGTTTATTGATTCAGAAGGACAGTGTGTCTCAAAAATGTTACATTTTTAAACAGCACTAAAAGACTCAAAGCAAAACAATTACATTTCTCATCTTCATGAACTATATTCTCACATAGATACAGATCTAATTATTTTTCTACCATCCACTTGTTTTTATCCACATTAGCAAGATGCTACTTGAAATGAACTCCATGGACTGCACTGATGTAACAAACTAGCTTGGGATGAATGACTAAGCAGCGCAATTCTAATTTAAAGACCACCACCAGGACAGTATGCTGTGAACAGCACGAATCCACAGCAGTCAAAGCACTTTCTAGAATGCACTCAATCTCATTCGCAGACAGAAAGCAAGGAGTCCAGTTTTCAGATCCTTCCAACAGAAGTCCTCTGCACGAAGATGGATGACACTTCAAGAAAGCTGTGAACCACCTCTGCCCTCTTCCATTCCCTGTGGCTGCTAGTGGCTTAGGATGGATCCTAGCTCCACTAACTCGTAATAGGCCCAAGGGAACTGCTGATCAATTTGCACTGATTAGTCCAACTGTGGCATCAACAGAGCATGTCACCTTACCCACTCTGCGTTATGCTGGGAGGTCTTGCTGGGATGAAATAATGTTCATGAAGAAATACCAATCATAAAATCATTTAGGTTGGAAAATACCCTTAAGATCATCAAGTCCAGCTGTAAACCTAACACTGCCAAGTCTACCACTAAACCACATCCCTAACTGCCACATCTACACATCTTTTAAATAGCTTCAGGGATGGTGACTCAACCACTTCCCTGGGCAGCCTGTTCCAATGCTTGATAACCCTTTCCATGAAGAAATTTTTCCTAATATCCAATCTAAATCTCCCCTGGCACAACTCGAGACTGTTTCCTCTTGTCCCATCGCTTCTTACTTGGGAGAAGAGACTGACACCCACCTCGCCACAACCTCCTTTTGGGTAGCTGTAAAGAGCAGTAAGGTCTCCCCTCAGCCTCCTCTTCTCCAAACTAAACCACCCCCAACAACACCACAGCTACAGCAGCCCTGGGGCTTTTTTGTACATAAAAGGCAGGCTAGCATCCACTACAAAGATATCCAGGTAATTTAATGTTGACAGTTTTTGGAAAATCCATTGGGCAAGCTGCTCAGTTTATAGGAGGAATTTAAGAACAGTTCACAGCCAGCTCTAGACAAGTGAACATATAAACTCAGAGTCCAATCTACAAGGTGTACAACAGTGCCAAATGGCACTTCAGAGATGCGATTCTGGACTCTAAGAACTTAATAGCTTGGTCTCAATTCTGTCCTTTGCTAGGGAGAGCTACCTGCACTCTTTCTGATTCGTTCCCATTTGCTTGTTTTACAGGTACCTGCTCAGTCTGACACTAGTGCATGCATCCAAGCTACTTCCAGACTTGGCTTGGCTCCACATAAGCAGTGCTTCAGATCTAATAAATCCTAACTCAACCAGTTGCATGGACATTATGATGCCTAAACATTCAAGTTGAGCCTAAAAACCATGGTGGGTGTGGGAACTGCAGTATTATGTAAGGGAGCCTAGCTCTACATTATTTTAAATAATGGAGAATTGACTATGGCAAGAAACCAAACCAGATCAGAGTCGTACGAGGTTTGTCTCATGCTGCCATCTGCTGAACAAAGCAAGCTGCTTCTCTGTGAAAACTCTTTTCCTGTTCATGATTCTTCTCACTGCATGTCATAACAAGATTACATGCGATTATATTTCCTCAGCTGCAAAGAAATACAGAAAACCTTCTGGTCTTCCGTACAGCACGTACAAATATCAAGCCCCTATTCATGAGACACCAAAATAAACTCATGGGCCTACTGTAGAATCCAGGTGCCTAGATAGCAGGCAAGTGAAAAGCTTAAGTGTTGTGAGGGTCTACATAATTAAAGCTGATGAGTTGCATCAGCTAGCACAACCTCTATGGTGATGCTGCTTTTTCTGTGGAGCCTGTTTACTAATACAAATCAAGCATAAGATTAGATAGTATAGTTAAAAATGCAAAATGTAAGTTAACAGTGAAATGACAATCAACCAAGGAGTGTCATTAAATATTTTTCAGCATATTCTTCAAAATTTAATCATTTTGCAACAAACAAGCTGAATAAGTCACTGAAGAGAAATTTGTACTTCTTACTTACACCCTTCTCCGTTGCACGGATATCCGTATTTCCACAAAGCGTTCCAAGACCAATTACTTTGCCACCATTTGTCCTTATATCAATTTTATGGCTCTGAAAAAAAGTTTAAAAATCATATGGTTAGGATAATCATAAGACAGTAAGAACTCTAGAGCAGTGTTTCTTAATCTTTGTGTTCAAGTCTTACTTTCTGCTCTTCATCAAAGAGGCTTTCCCACAGTAAAATGCAACACCTGTCACTTCAGATTACAGTAGTGCTTCAGACCTTTTAGAAGTTGTACATAACTCAGCTGTTCAGTTAAGTTTCTATATAAATGTAATGGCTGATTCTCTCCATATACAGTGAACAGGATAAAGTCAAATTAGATGCCTCAGCCAGACATCATAGTTCCTTTGAGGCTGTTACACTAGGCAAATTATCAGAATAATGGTTAAAGAGCAAATCCTCCAAGCAAGTAACTTGAGGAACACACAGGGACTTAGAAGATTAGAAGAATTAATGTATAGCAATGACCTGCCAGTATGGCCACTGATAATTAACCAACATAAAATCCCAACACACACACTTACCTCCCCAATTTTCTCTGTTTTTTTTTTTTTACCCTATCATTTTTGGGCTAAGAAAAGCTTTGATATGACACAGGTCCCTCAACTTTTTTCTGCAGAATTATTAGACTACTCCTACCCTCTTAAAAAAAAAAACAAAAACAACACAACATACTTTCAGAGGCAGGTGTCAATACAGACACTGACAGACAGCAGGATTTGCTGAGAGAGGAAGCAAGTTACAATGGTCAAGTAGCTTTTTTATTAAGAGGGAGTATTCCACTAGCTGAAAGTAAGAAGCAGTAATTTGTCATAGGGCTTCTCCTAGCAAGGGAGAAAGGTTTGAGGAAGGAAGAGGTAAAAGGCTGTCAAGGCCATGACAGATGTCAAAAGAGTAACAAAAATTTGTTTGGTTCAAAGAAAGGAAGGGCAGTGGTGCAGGTCTTTAAGAAGCCAGGCTCAGACATGGTATGTGGTGAGGAAGCATGGCAGGTCTTCCATTGGTCATACAAGAGACACCTGGAAATTCTTGTTATCGCTGGCACAGTCAAGGAGTCAGAAGTAATCACGGAACACAGAAACAAAATTAAAGGATCTCCTTGGTCTCACTGTCACTGCTAAGCTGATGGACTGTAATAAGAAGCAGGAAAAAAAATTTAAAAGATGCAGCACTGCTTTCTCAATAAAGAATTTGGGAATAATTTATATTTTGAAGCAGAGAAGCCATAACTGTATTTTAGAATTACTGCTACTATGAGTTGACCTAGAGACTTGGAAGGGATATGGTGAACTTGAGCCAATTACAAAACAATCACCAAAAAAAAAAAAATATCAATAAACCAATCCTCAGATCTCACTGGCTGGGTACTGCCTACTACACCAAAAGTTATCAGTCAAAATCTACTAAAAAAGCCTCATACAGAATACTCATCTTTCCTGTTCAATTACTAGCATGCACAATTAAGGAAAGTAGATGTCAAATTTCTAGGTCTTCTGTAAGGACACCATACAGGATACTAAGAATCAGAAAGTTCTTTGAATTACAAGTTACACAAACAACTTCTTGCAGTCTGTGGCAAGTTAACAGAACTAGCAGCTGTGAAGCTGTTTGCCGGTGCTGTTGAATAATCCCCACACGACCAGATTTTTTTATTTATTTAAAGTCATTGATCAGTCTTGTGCTCTCCACTGTAAATAAAGGGTCTCCTGCTCTGCTAGTCAGTGCGGTTTGCAGACAGCGTGACAGTGAAGCAACACTGAACAGCTCTTCAGCCCACCCGGGGAGGGCAGCATCCCCTCAGCATGCTCAGTAAAGCACATTCCCTACAGGCGAACCAGCTCTTGACTGCACTGCAGAATCCAGTCCGTAACATTTTAGTAGTCCTGAAAAAAATCCAAAAGGTTAACAATTCTGCTCTTAACTGCAGAATCCAGTCCGTAACATTTTAGTAGTCCTGAAAAAAATCCAAAAGGTTAACAATTACAGAGTATAATTCCTGCACCTGTATTAGAAAAACTGAGTTACAGCTGCCTTACTAGAACTACAGTACTTCTTAAAAACAGTATTAGATTAAAAACTGATTGTACAGTTCAGAGATACTGTAACTGAACAATTGTTTGCTCTTGCAAACACCTACATGGTCAGTAATTTTAGTTCAAAACCTTCATCTCACTACTTCAGTCAACCAAATGAAGAGAGGTAACATATCTTCTCCAGCACTGTATGTTGAAGCTGTCACAGTAACCAGAACAAAAGCAATCAATCACCACTCACAACCCAAAACAATACTTCGGGTTACTACTTTGGTTAAAAAAGCGCGTCGAAGCCTTATAAATTTACCAAAGCTTTGTTTTGACACAAGTTTCAGTTGAAATCTGCAGTTCTTTCTCGGTACTTTAAATTTTAAATGCCCTCGGGGACAAGGCCATTCCTCTCACCTGAGGCCTAAGCGAGCAAAGAACCTTCCTGCCCCCATCATGGTGGGCACATTGATGCGCAGGCACAAAGGAAGGATCAGCTTTTACACTTGTTTTCCTGACATTTTTGTGAATCAAGCAAGGCTCAAAGTTGACAGTGAAAAAAAGCAACACCAAGCTCCTCTAAACTATAATGAGGCGCTGGAGGAGTTGGTCTCAGAAGCTCCAAACTGGTGACTTTGCGGCCTTCTTTTCAGTTCATTAGAGAGTATTGTTTCATTGCTACTTGGAAGTGTCAAGGGAAATAGAACTGACTTTTTCATTTTTAAAATTCACCATCTTTCACACCTCCGACTGTATACGAGAAAAGAGGCCCATGAAATCAGTTAGCTGTCTTTCCTCAAAATCACCTTCTTCCATGACATCACAAAAAAATTCTTGACAATTGCGATGGCACGCTGTGATCACTGTCTACTGCTGGCCAAAACTACCTTGTTTTCTCATATTATGTAGTTTCTCATGTACTGTTGTTTGCTGTTATTATTCTGTAACAGAGAGTGATTTTTAACCAAAGCTTTAAACAGCAGTAACACGTACAGTACTGTTAACTTTTTGTTCGATTTTAGTTACCTTTTTGAGAGTAATATGGTCAAGTACACAAAATCTGGAAGATACAACTTGTCTATAGTTCACTGAATATGGAGTAATCTGTTTCCCATGTGCGCTATAAAATCATCTCTTACGATGGTAGAGAAAAATGTCGAAAGACTTTTCATATCTCAAAAATACTTAAACTTAGGAATTACCTTATTTGAAAATCCCATCTTTTGAATTTATACCAATTCCTGCAGGTACAATCCCAATTATTCAAGTGAATTTGATTCTAAACAGCAACTCAGTCAGATACACTTTGATTATCGCTACAAAAGTCTATGTCAGCAAACCTGAAGTCTTAAGATTGAAAAACCAAGGTCAGGATCATGATATATCACAGAATCTACAATATTTAACGGGTAAATTTCAGTCAGGTGTTTTGGACGTGTAGTGTGTAACTTCTGATTGAAAATTAATCTGAAAAGTTTGTCAATAGCACTGATATAGTAGAATTATTAAAAAACTACAGCAAAAAAAAAAAAGCAGCACACTGCAAAGTCCGCACTGAGCAAGCACAACTATTAACCTACTACACAGGAAATCCCACTCTGTCTTTTTTTTTTGAGGGGCAGGGAGGGCAGATAGCAGGCTTACTGCTGTCACTGCTTCTGCTGGCTTTGGCTATCAAAGGTACCTGGACTTCTGACTCCACATTATTCAGTGTTATTGACTTTGTGTCATAATTGTATGCAACAAATAAAGGTGAGGTGCTACATACATAGTAACACTTAGAAATACCACAGTAGTCCTCATCTCCAAAACTGGTACTTAAATTTTTATACTAGATTCCACCACACAATCCCTTTTAAAACACTAATGGAGTGGGGGAGGGTTCTCTGTACCTTTATTGACTGCAAGACACTAGTCCCCTTCTCCGTTTCTATTTTGCAGTTATCACATTCTATTTTCTGAATCTTCACGCAGCCAGTCCCTGATGTTTTGATATCCAAATCTAGAATTAAAAGAGTTTTGTTAGCAACAGAATGAGAAGAGTCAGATCTATTTAACATAGTACATGATCACTTTATATAATGACTACATACAGTAGGGAAAAACTGCAGCTGCTTTATTACTGAAGAACCTTCTTGCAAAGTTTGGCCCCATACTTTCAATTGCATGATCAGTCACTATCAACAATTAACACTGAAAATTTTGTAAGCCTGCATATAGCCATCCAGCTTCTAGAGAGAACATGAAGAAACCGCAGAGCGACTGTAACCTCTGGCAAGGAATTGGCAGGGTGTAGTCCTTTGGTAAAGTTTGGGTTTGTTCTGGGGCTTTTTTTGGTTTTTGTGTGTTGTGGGTTGTTTTTTTTTTTCTCTTCTCAAACCCACTCCCAAACTCCACCTCCATCTCACAGCTACCCTAGTCACCAATTCTATTAGCAATTCTACTGAGACATTTGGGTACCCTGACATGGGTTTTGGGGTGGAAAGGTTGGCAGGTTGTTTGAGGCCACAGGTAGAGGAATAAGATTCAACAGCACAAATACATAGGTCTTGCTTAGATCTATTCTGCTTCAACTAGGAAGCAGCATAACACAAAAACATGTATAGAGAGTTTGAAAGCGTCATTCTTCCCTAGCCTTCTGGAAGGCCTGACTTACCCCCCTGGCATGAAGAAGCATGTCTGCGCTAGTCCCAGTCACCTCACCTTATTACTGTTCATATGCTCCCACACAGAAAAGTCACTAGGTCTTGTAGATAACTCTATTACCAAGGCAGTAATTTATGGGCTCATAGTGCTTCACAGAGGAGCTGCAAAAGCATTTTTCTGCCACTTCAGCTCACTCCTGAGTTTAAGGAACTGGGAAGAAGTTTGAGAATGTGCAGTCTGGGGATTCTGACTACATTAATAATAATATATATGTATGGCCACCGTAACAACTGGCAAAAGCTATAGGCAGGGGGAGAAAAAAGTGATTTTGTTATTCTAAGGATAAAAGACAGAAAGAAGAAAAACTGAACAGAAGTGTTTGCTGCAAGACACATCACTTAAAGACTAAGAGAGAGAAAGTGAGCTTGTTACTCTCTAAAGAAAAGGAGATTATCTGGGAAAGAAACCTTCATTTAAGCACCTGTGAAAGTCTTCCTTGCATCTCCACTATCTGCTAAGGTGACCAGAAATATGAGAAGAAGAATCAGAGTACGAATAACAAGCTCTGCCCCAACAAGATTCCCCAAGTTAGATCCATGACACAGCAGAGGCTGAAGCTCAATACTGTCACGCTGCTGCTCAGAACACATGCTGGAACCATGACAACAGTATCTCGCAGACCATGAAGACGAGAGACTGAGAGCTCCAATTAATAAGGAAAGGAAGTTTCACCACCTGACCAACCATGAGAATCCAAGCAGCAGACCTAAAACACCTTACATCTTTGCTGCAAGAGCGCTACCTTCTTGCCACAGTAAACTAAGAGGTTAAATTTAGTAAAGGATGCAGACTGTGTCACAGGTAACAAATCCCTACGAAAGAGGGCTAGAAGAGGTGGACTGGATAAGCAGGTTTTCCACAAAACTGTTTTATTTGCAGATATTGTTTTCTTAGCCTCTTCACGGAAGACTTCCAAGAAAGAGATACTGTGACCAAGATTTTCATCAAACTATATGTTTCTTACATTTAAGTAAACTTTAAGATAAGCTTTGAGGCATGCAAAAAGCACAAAACCTGGCAAACTGGACTGGTGACAGAGGCTTGAGGGCCAGCACCACAAGGTTCTATGTTGGTAAAGCCCAGACAGTTTCACTAGACTAAAAATATTTGAGTGGTATCTGAGCTATTTCAATTCGATGCTGATCTACAGGTTCTGAAACGGAGACAAAACTTTTCCATAAGGTTTTACTTCTCAGGGAGCATTTGGATTGTTTAAACACAGTTCCAAGAGAGATACAAATAGAGGCACTCTCCCAACATCAACACTTGAAACAGTACGTCCCCGCACAGCAGAAGCCTGGAGAGTTCAAAAAGAATGCAGTATTATTTTTGAAATACAAGCTGTCTTTCTCAAAACTGCCTAATTCACCCACTGGAAAACTGCACAGTCCTGCAGGAGATCTACATCCAAGACTTTTGCTATTTTGCGTTCTGAGAAGAAAGAGGTCCAAAATCCAGTATGCTTGTGCAAATCACTGAATTCAATCAGCTGGATAGCCTCCTGCCCTTAGCGCTCCTGTCAAAAGGGGTGAGGAAAAGGCTTAAGAGCAGTCAGGTTAGCCATGATACCAACTTAATATGACTTTTATAAGGTTAATAGAAACTTCTGATCCTGCAGGGTATATTATGGCCATCATTTGAAAGGTAGATTAGTAGTGTAATCCTAGCTGCATCAAAGATAGGTGCCAAACGAGGACACAGAAGTCTGGGGATTCATGAGCACGTTGTCAAGAAACACCAGGGATTCCTGGAAACATACTTAGTGCCTTGATCCTCTGCAGAGTCACAGCGCTTTGCTAGCCTTGATATTACAAAAATCAGTGGACAAGGAAAGGAATCCCTCTGTCTCACAAACAGCCTTCCTGAAGCAAGGATAAACGACTCCACAAAGAGACAGGCTAAAAGCTGAATAATATTGCTAACAAAATTTCAAGAAGCAAGGAAAAACAGGATACAATCTGTTTCAGTGCCAAAGCTCCAAAAATAGCTAGTTTGATTACTCCCTAGCAAAGATGAAGGCTGAAGCCAACTTCAGCCACACAACCCTCAAAGAACACATGAAAATTTTTGAGATGCAAAGGACTGGTACTGGAAATAAAGGTACACAGGGAGAAAAAGAACTTTGGTATCAGAATCTAGGCAGGGGTACCTCAGAAATACCATCTTAAGCTATAATACTTGAAATAGACTGGAAAATTACTTATTTTGAAGTGACTCGGTAGCCCTGGACTACTAGAAGGGTTTCATGATGATCCAGTTCTCTGCTCATAGAGAAAGCTTACCAGTGAGCATGCATGTAAAATAATTCAGTCCGGGAAAAGCTATTTATTGAGGGCATCAGATTACAGTATTTGCTACTATGAGGCTATAAGTCTGCCATACTTCGGAGCAGACACTGATGACTTTTTTTCCAATTCATTAATTTGTTAAGACTTCAGAAAAATATGCTGTTGGAAACATTGACATTTGCTTTCCACTAACGTTTACAAAAAACAACAAGCAGAAACAAGCAGTCCCAAGAGCTTACGTTCCCCCCCTCATATAAGTAGGCTGAAAAATTATTTAAGTGATACCATAACACCATGGTTTTGGTAATTCACAGAAACATTCAAGACCCCCACACACATTGACTCAGTTTGCTTAGTTAGTTCCACAAGAACCAAGAAGCCGAGTGATCTCATGCACTTAAATTAGACTTGGAAGAGTTAAGTTTTCCCAAGGAGAGAACTGATAATAAAAAATTAACAAACAAACAAAAGAATTAAAAAAAAACTATACTGGCTTACAGGTGTACCTAGACCGTGCCAGATGGGGCAGAGCTGTGGTATTCTACTCTGTGAAGCTTGGCCACCACTTCAACACTCATAGTTCTCCACCCTGACTTTGGCATAGAAGCCTCGGTTCTCTTCACCAAGGTATAATACGGAAAAAGCATTGGAACAGTTTGCCAAAGGAGGTTGTGTAGTCATCATTCTCGGACATTTTCAAAACCAGACTGGATAAAGCTCTGAGCAGTCTCCTCTGACCTCAGAGTTGACCCTGGTTTGAGAAGGAGGTTGAACTAGAAACGTTCTGAGGTCCCCTCCAACCCAAATCATGCTATGGTTTATTATAATATGTACATACTAAAGCAAAACATAAGAACCACATGGTAAGACAGATGATTCTCAAATTCTGGTTAGGCAAGACCTCAGTTGGGTTCACTTTTGAGTACTCAGTCAACATACAGTAACCAGAAATCAGAAAGCTGGTTTCAGGTTTAATTAGCACGTGTAGTCCGACATGCCAAGACACAGGGTTCTCTATATGCTGAACAGACTCCGAACCTACAGCCATGTGCCTACGCTGTCCCTGGAATAAATAGCTAATGTACATGTGACCTGAAGGAAAATAAATAGGCTAGATTACAGAGAAATCCACTGACATCCAGCATCTATGAAGGTTAAATGTACCAGAGAGGATTATCAGATTGTATATAATATTGAATGACTATACATAGCATAAAACTAGACAGTAAGAAACAGAATATCCTTTAGTACTTGCCCTACTGGGCTGCTTACAATTTGCCTTTGGTTTAAAATGCATACTTAAGATCATAATCTAGCATCTTCTGCACATGCTCTTCAGGGTCTAAGGAGTTTTAGCTAACTTACAGCTTCCTGGATAAGCTCCAACCTAAATTGTGAAAGTTGCTATGAAATGCCACAGCTTCCAAAACCAAGAAAGAAGCTAGAATACTGTAAAGACATTCACATCAACTTCTGAACTTCTTATAGCTAAATGACAGAAAGAGAGCTCAGGTAAAACAGTCTAAACAGAACAGAGTTAACATCCTCCTCATGCATTCAAGGAAGGCCAGAGAAAAGCCAAAGTGCTTGCAGAGCAACAACATATCCCGATTTGAGATGTGTTTTTACAAAGGATAAGTTCTTTCGCTTATGCAATGATGTCTAATGGATAATTCTTTCCTAAATAACGTAACGAGACAACCCAAGCCTAAAGTACTACTCTTAGAACCCAAAAACCAAACCAGAGCTGAAAGGACACTTACAGTAGAACTTCGAGTACAAAAAAAAAATATGTTTGCGTTTTAGGAAATACATCTCTGGATATGCCCAGATAACAGCATGAACAGACAATACTAGCATCATGCTAACTACGGGGTGACAAACAGCAACTAGTGGAAGGGGATTATAATCCACAAACTGTCCAGGGAACCTGAACTGCATGAGTTCACCACAAACCCAAGTGGAACAGCTTAGAAACAGACTAACACAACCTACTTCAAAAAGGAAGACTGTAAGGCAGTCTGCAGGGTTGCTTGACATTCAGAGTGTAACAAGAATCTCAAATACAGGACAAAAGCTAAACGACTTTTTTTCCCCATCAATCAGGATTCATTATTGAGACCTTCGGAAAGGTTCCGCGCAGTGGAACTCTTTATGAAGGCTGAGATTCTCCAAATCTTAATACAATGAATTGCACCCCCTGAGAGTAACACACAATAGTCACTCAGAAGTCCTGGAGAAACTGAAAAATTACTAATGGCTACAGTAACCAGGCACACCTGGTACTGGAGAAATGAAGGGTAATAAATGGGACACTGAGTTTTGGTTTGATTGTCTGTAATCCTGGGATGGACTCTGAGAACGTGCTACAGACAAGGCAAGGTGATCTTTGCACTTGCCAAGCAGGGGAAAAAAAACAAAACAAAACAAAACTGTAAGAATGTAACTGACAATTCTCAGGGAAGAGTCAAAACTACTAAAGTCTCTGGGAGAAGGCAGTCTGCTACGGTTCAGTGAAAGAATCAATGAATATACAGGTAAGAGTTGATCTGTTCAAGAGAATGAACCTGAATTTTCAGACGTCTTTGATAATATCCTTAGTCCTATATTGCCTTTTAGCTATGAACTATGCATCATCTTCAACACTACATGAATTTGGAAATCAGCACAAATACCAAGGTTGAAAAGCTTCATGAACAACACTGAGTTACTCAAACTAGTTAAAAACTCACTGACAAACTGCAGAAAGATCTTGGAATACCACATACTCGACTGATAAATTAGCAGGAAGCTGAATGGATAGTGTTCCTCGAGGGACTCTCTACCAAGAGGCAGGGAGTTTGCCAGGAAGCTCTCACCCTGAAGCTGTTTACATGTGTAAGCGGACACTCAGAAGAGAGGGGGGCTGAGCTGTACCAGGCTCAGAAATTCCCCCGAGCTGAAAAGAGTTGACAGCTAAGAGAACATTTGGATGAAATATCATTTACGTTTGTCCTGTTCTTACTCCTGCCTGAGCATCTGTTTATGACCATTGCTGGAGACAGGACACCAGCTGGACTCATGGTACAAACCAGTGCAGCCATTCTAACATAGACAGAGTAAAGCATGCTGAGAGCAGGGAGTGCGAGGCGAGAAGCCCCTGGTTTTGCTTACAGAAAATTTGTCTCTGTATTAGTTGTTACGAAACAAAAGAGGCCGTAAGTCTTGGTAAATATATCTAAGAAACACCCCTTCAGTTATCAACTGTGTTCTAAACAAACAAACAAAAAAAAGTAAATTGTAGGGATGAGTAAGATCAGCAA